CCCCCCCCCCCCCCCTCCTCTTTACCAGCAGGCTTGACAACTAACCCTCGGTGAAGCGCGGGTCCTTCATCTCGCCCAATGAACATGCTCAGATGAACATGAATACCGCGGGTCTGATCGTTGCGACGGAGTGCAATGCGGCGAGGTGCTATGCACCATGATCATGCTCACGATCACATTCTAGTCCAAATCACCCTTGGAGCTGGAGCTGTGACGCAGAAGCTACTTAAAGCGCTCTTCTTGATACTCTACATCGCCGCAACCTTGATCCGTTCAGCCACCGCACTCCAACTTCCACGTGCACTTTGAGACACTCCCCCTCAACTCCCCGATCTCTCTCCCTCCTCACCAAAATCAGCCATGCCAAGAGGACGCTCACTCGTCTTGCTACTTTTAAGCATCTGCATCTCGGCGCTTCTTGCCATCAAGCCAGCGCGAGGGGAAGCCAGCACCAAATGGGACGCTTGTCAAAGGGACCTGAAAAAGTGTCCCCGTGGCACCGTCGCCGTGCGCAATGCGGCTCAACTCGATGCAGCGCTCAAGCAGAAAGCCAAAGTCATCTTCATCACCTTTGCTGGTCAGCCGGAACGCTTTTGGACGGATCATGCCGCTGCCGCCGATCCTGGCAGCCAGGCTGAAACAAAGGTGGATGATGCTGGTACAGCAAAAGATGGGCTTGGTGCCTCGACTCCAGATGCCTCGACCAATACGGCAGGCAAAGGCTTGAACTTGGCACAGCTCGACGATGCCAATGAGGACGCGCCAGACGAGGATGAGAAGCTGGAGACTGGCGGTGCCCATATCAAAAAGACGATGGGCAAAAGCTCGAAAGCAGCGCAACTCGATTCGGAAAAGGCGGAACAGGAGCCTGATATCAAACTGGGCAAAGACGACGAATCGCTGGACGCGACGGAGTCCGAATCGAAAGACGGTGGTGGAGAGGCGACGAGCAACAAGATCAAAAAGACTGAAAAGACCAGCGAAGCGGGAGCGAGCCGGGCTAGCACGAGTGTCGGACTCGAGAGGAGTGGCGTCAATGCGCGAATGAGACACAAGAAGCGCAGCGCCATTCGAAAGCGACAGCAAGCTTCGCAGGCCAAGGCCAAGAAGCCTGAAGCGAATGTCGACGATGATAGCAAGAGGGCCAAGACTGGCTCGGGAGAGAGAGGAGGCATGCCTAGCGCACGAGGCTTTGTCATCGATTATCCAGTGATCATCCTGGGTCAGCTGGTGGATACGCCACAGGGAAAAGGTTGGCCAATCATCCAGCGCAAGACGATCGGGGCGGATGAAGCGGTCTTCACCATCAACGTGTCTGGCGGCACAGTCTCCCTGCACGATTTGGAGATTCAACAAATGCAGAATACGGAAATCATGAATCGAGGAGGTGATCTACAGGTGGAGGATTTGAAACCTGCGCCTGTCGTCAAGGTTGGCAGCGGCACCAAAGCTCTGTTCAGCAATGTTGGCACAGAAGGATGGCTCAACACGTTCATTTGTGAGGGACAATGCGCATTCTTCGGAGGATTGATCGCTGGTTCAGCCAACTTTATCGTCGGTGAGTGGTCGACCCCCGCACA